TTTCGTTTGCGCACGACTGGTCTACGGTAGACGGTTGGATGGATCCACCATGGGCGAAGATACATAAGATGTTTCGGAAGATGAAGGACGATGGCGCAAGGGCAACAATATGTATACCGTGGATACCGCGAGCACCGTAGTTCAACCTACTCAAGCAATTGCTACACATGGAGCCACTCCTAGTGCCACGAGCGGCGCCTACGTTTCTGAAATATGCCAAGTACTCCAGCGGGAAGACACCATGGGGCCACACGGTCATAGCTCGAGTAGGCCCACCTAATGGTTACGAGCTAGGTACGACATTTTCGAAACGACTGGGTAACACATAACCCCGGCACACTCGACATGTGATGTGTTTGGACACAGCGAGGGAGGTATCAATTTTTATAACGAAAGCAGAGAATCAACCGGCTTTTGCACAAGCCACGCCGGAAGAGCAACAACGCCGTACACAGCTAACACAAGCCCAACACGAGCAAGGTCATCACGGCGCGGCAAATACTGTAAACAGCTCCATAACAATGTTCATATATGGCCGGGCGCGCTCGAACTCGCGACGGAAGTGAAACTCCAATGCGACACATGCTTAGGACAAGACACTCTGCGCAAAGGTTTCCACCTGATGAGTAGTATAGAGGCACAGTATCCTTGGGATCACATACCGGTCAACTACATCCCGATGGCCCTGGAAAATCTGAGGAAGAACAACTACATTCTTCACGTCCTAGACATTGCTTCGGGGTATTCCATACTTAAAGCCACGGCAGACAAGACGAATGAGACTACAGCCAAGACATTGATCGAGATCTTTGATGAACAAGCTTTTCCGCGCATAATTCAGACGGATATGGGTCCAGAGTGAGGCGATAACCCAACGCTGGCATGAACACCCTCCTCTTTTACGATGCTCTACCAGAACTTACAAATATCACGACGACACAAAGTGCTCCCTTAAGTGTGCATTTTGGTCGACATCCCGTACCCTTTGCTGACTTTACGAACCCCCTCTCAGAAACCCAACCAGTCACTAATGGTAGCTGGGCACACTGGTTAGACCATTTGCAGGACACCATCCTTCCGGCACTGTACCACATTACGAAGTAGTACACGGGCAAGCTCAGGAAGACATTCGACCGCTTGCATGCTCACGAATTAGTACAGTTTGATGTCGGAGATTTAGTGATGGTACGATCTGAACGGCAAACCACAAAGGCGATGCGACCATTGTTTGGCCCATACGTGATCAAAGCGAAGGTCGGCCAACGATATTGCCGCCTATCATAAGGCTTCGCAAACACGTACGTGAAAGAGGCAACGCGCACAAATCAATAATTTTCCCCGGGACATGCACATATATACACGTTACCATGTACGACGGTGCGCTCGAGCCGTATACTTTGGGCTCTTTACCTCTCAGAGGATAAATGCCAGCACACTACTCTAGCTCTCAGAGGATACATGCTAGCAAGCTACCCATATATGTATATATTCCTTCCTATATTTTTCAACCTGTCATACTACCAGTGAGTAGTGCTTCAGCTTGGGGGGGGGGGGGGTTGTGGTCGGAATTTCCATATACACGGTAAACTTAGTTTTATGACGGCTTATCAAATCTTAGGATTCGATATACCTGGTTTTGATTCGATCCGGTTGGGATCGAAAACATGACTCATCATGAGAATCTAATAGTTATAATTATTATCTAATAAAGACACGACGTCTCCCTGAGCAGTCAGTGAGAACGTTCAGATACAATTATTGAACGAGTACATACCACACTGTTTGTCTGCCTTGATGAAGGTTTATATTTTCTCCTGTTATCCTTAGTACGTAAGTGCCTGGTATCTTATGACCTTGAGTATTTGCGTGTGTATATGCTCTGTGTCCGAGTTGCGGTAACGCTCCTCTAACACTTGCATTGTTATAAGCAATCGCTCTGTACGTACCTCTACGTTTAGTGTCTTATTCTGTATGTCGTTGAGAAACTTCTCTAACAGATAGTCTATTGGATGGTGTCTGAGTCTATCAATAATATTATATTGAATTGCTCAGGATCCTTGTAGTGATTGGACATATGTGTTTCCGAGTCTCGTAATTCGTTGAGCACTGTCGTAATCTTCTCCCTTGCATCAGTGGAGCCTAATAGATATCTAACCAGCGCTGGGTACTGACGTAGATGCATTAACTTAGCTAGGAATAGGTCTCTGCATTGCGTAGTAAACTCTATACTGTCTTCACAATTTTTCATTTTGAAACTAGTGTCACTTGGTAACTTCGAAAATCTGAGGTCTTGTGAAATATATATTAGATGCCATTGATGCAACAAATAAGACAAAGGTGTACTCAATGAGATACGTGACTCGGAGATGCAGGTCACGAAGCACTACACTCGTCCAGAGCAATTCAATAGAATTAATATTGATTGACCTGGGTGTAAACACCCAGGTGGACTATTTGTTGGAAAAGTTTCTCAATGACATGGAGTATACATAAGGCACTGAACGTCGAGGTGTGCACAGAGCGATTACATAGAACAATATAAATGTTGAAGAAGCGTTACCAAAACACAGGCAAGGAGCGAATACACACTCGACTACTCAAGGTAGCGATATACAAGGCACTCATGTACTATGGACAGCAAGAGAAGATAGATACTATCATTAAAGCAGACAAACTGCCTGATGGAAGTGACGGACACTTATCGAATATGAAGCATAGTGTGTTCTGTTCACATACTGAAGCATCCATAAGGACAGCAGCCAAAGTACAGGTAGATCATTTATACAGAGAGCGTAAGATATACAGTTGTGACACGGCAACTTAGAGCATCGCTCAGAGCACTACCACTGCTGCTCTCACCTGTCACAAACCAGACAAGGGCACAACAAGACAAGTATATGCACCAGGGCAACCCCAGGAGAAGAAAGGGGAGCCAATACGAGCATGTACTTATTCTGAGGTGTCACCAGCCCCACATCGGTTTAGTCAATGTTCTATGAAGGCATCAAATCAGGCCAAGAAGGCTGAGGAACGTGTCAAGAACGACGTGCAAGTAGCTAGAATGTCTATTACCTCAAGGAAGGTGGAAGAAATACCAGATAGTGATGAGTCCTTAAACAACTGGTGGACGTAAACAAACATGATTGACCTGGCTGGCTGGCTAAATGTAACTACAAATAAATAAACGTTATTAATAAATGCAAATGAAAATAATGTCAGGCAAATGAGGCACGCCAAAGTCAATTTTGCACTTCACAAGTATATTCCGCAAACGGATGAAGATGTACAAAGGTGACTTACAGATGGTCACATATACAAACTAACGACACCAACAACGGTAAACTTACTATTGTTATCATGACCAGACAGGTATCCTCGAGAAAGCAAGAACATGTTAGACTTACGAGAGATCAATCATCAATACAAGCAAGACAAGTTTGTGCTACCGGAGACAAATGGATGATTACACAACCTATGTACCTACAAGGAGCACTATCCATCTCCAAGCTTGATCTCACGGGAGGGCTTCACCACTTCTTAGTAGATGAGGCAAGCCAACACTTCTTCACATTCTCGTAGAGAGGAGCGCAGTACTCATTCAAGTTGCGTTTAGTCTGCACTCTCACAGCACAATTTCAGAGAGTCATGGCAAACTTGTTTGTAGACATCATCAAAGGAGTGCAAGGGTATGTAGATGACATACTCATTGCAAGTCTTATCGAAGAACATATATATATATATATATATATATATANATATATATATANATATA